GGCACCCACCTTCTCGGCACCCACCGCCCGACGGGCCCGCGCCTACACTGGACACTGGCACCAGCCAGGGGACACAAGGAAATGGGCACCAGTACCAGGCACTGGGCACTGGGCACTGGGCACCAGGCAAAACCACCAGCACCGACCATCGCGCACCAGGCACCAGCACTAGCCACTGGTACCAGCCACTGGACACTGTCTCTGGCACCAGGCAGTGGATACCAGCACCAGCATGGGCACTGGTATTGTGCACTGGCAGCAGCACCACACAGTGCACACTGGACACCACACAGGCAGCAGTGGTGCCATGCACCGTCACCACTGCCAGGACCAGGCACTGACACCAGTACAGGCACCAGTACCAGCCACTGGCACCAGCACCAGCACTGAGTGCCATGCGCCGGGTGCTGAGCTCCAGCACCAAGCACTGGCACCAGCACTGGCACCACACACTGGTACCGGGCAGCAGGCAGGGGCAGTGGAGTGGGGATACTGCACACCATGGACAGAGGGCACTGAGTACCACGCACAGGTCCTGAGCAGGGGGACTCCTGACCTTTTGGCAGCCCCCAGACCCACCTGCCAGGCTCTGCTTGCCCCCAGGGGCACGCAGGTTCCTGCAGCCCAGGGGTCCCTCACACCCTGCCCAGCTGTGCCCCTCCTCTCCAGCCCTGACACCCCAATGCCAGGTCTCCGCTGGGATGCTCATCCCTCCAGCTGATACCTGGGCTCCCAGGCAGCCAGAGGGGTATGAACCAAGTGTGCTGGACCCAAGCAACCTGATATGTGCTTGGGCATCAGGAGGATCTGTGGTGGGATGTCGGCCGTGGTGTGAACCTGTGCCCACCAACAGAGCCTTTTCCAGGATGGGTTTGGGGGGCTGCCCTGTGCCTGCCCCCAGGGCATCGTTGGAGGGTGAAACACATGAGGCTGCATGGAGTGAGGGACACAGCTGGCACAAGGGCAAGGAGAGGGATACCGGCACATGTGCCAGTCCCCGGGACCAGAAGTGCTGCAAGAGAAAAGATGCAAATTTTCAGCACCCTCCACCCGCAACCAGGCAGGAGAGACCCTGTGGGAGCTCCAGCCCTCAGTCCTGCTCTTGTGTGAGGCTTTTTTGGAATATCCCAACTGAAAACTCAGCCCAGAGGCCAGACCCCATTGCCTTGGGGCCTTGATCCTGCCACACTCCCACCATCACAAAGCCAGTGTCCCTGTCCCCACCATCACCAGCTGCCAGGGCTCCTTTGGTTCCCTGGTGTTGCCTTGTCCCACTCACCAGTACCTGCTGGGCCCGTGGAGGGGTTCTGGGGCAGCGTCAGCCCTGCCAGGACAGCAGGAAGGGCTGCAGGCAGGGCAGCGCTGCCTGCAACCTCCCCAGGCTCATGGCTTCCTGCCAGCAAGGAAAACACCAGCGCTGAAGGAGCTGGGCCCAGCACCAGCATGGGGACACAATGTCCCCAACCGCCAGAAGCCATGGCTGTTACCAGCCTTGCCTGCAGCCCTGTGGGCCACAGCCACCCCCCACAGCTCCTCTGCAAGAGGCTGTTCCTCCAGTGTCCCCTCCTGGCCACAGGGTCAGGGCTTTCAGTTCAGACATAGCCCCAAAATTCCTGCCCCATGGCTCTGGTTGTGGCTGGCAGGAGATGGCCATCCCCGACCAGAGCAAGAGCTGAGCCTTGAGGGGACAGTGGGGACTGTGGGGACCAGCCTGCCAGCCAGGGTGTCTGGGTGGAAGGCAGCACAGGAGCATCCCAGCCCCACATCCAGACCTGGCATCCTCCTTCAGGGCAGCGGGAGATACACCAGACTGGGTCCCCTCAGTGCTGCCACGTCTCTGGGGAAGCTGCAGGGAAAGCTAGAAGGTGCAGGGGCAACGGGAGATGCTGCCAGCCTGGCCTGGTGGAAAAAGGCTTGATGGGGACATGGCACTGCCACGGCTTCACTGCTCTGCCCTGCCCTGGGCAGGACACCCACGTGTCCTGTGTGTCCCCTGTGGGTCCTGAATGGGCATTTTGCTGAAGGACTTTGGGCTTCTCAGGAGGGTCCTTACTGCCAGGGGTTCCAGTGCATGATGTCCCTGCTTCTTGGTGCTTGGGGACAGGGTGGGTTTTGCTGGGAGCCAGTGCCCAGCCAGGTGTCCTGTCCCCAGGGTGTGGGACAGAGCTCCTGTTCTGCAGCTGGACAGTCTCCCCTGTGCTGGTGGCTGAGCATGCCATGGGGTGGGACAGGGCCACCACAGGTTCCCTACTCCAGCCATGTCCCTGCCGTGTGACACTGCTGTGATGCCCTCGGCCAGCGTCACTCTTCCCAACACCAAGCCCCCAAAACTGGCTTGTGCAGAGCCCCAACATCTTCCCACAAGCAGAAACCTGTCCTTCCCAGGAGACCCAGGGATACTGGGGGCAGGGCTGTGCACATGGGGCCAGGGCAGCCTGGGGATGGGCGCAGGGCAGAGAGTGCCCCAAATTGCAGCTGAATCCTCCTGGGATTGAATTACCCACAGCTCTTTGCAAAGGGAAAAGCTGCTTCCTTCTGGCCATTGCAACAGCAAACTACATTTCTCACCTGCACTGAGGAGCTGGGGCTGCACAGGCTCATTCTGCTCACAATGGTGCCCACCACTGCCCTGCCTGCCCAGCCTGGTCCCAGGTGAGTGCGGACACTGGGCTGGGGGCTGCACCCCTGGCACCTATGGAGCAAGCAGGAGAGCTCCAGCGGGTGATGGGACCCTGCCTGGCCCTGGCAGCACTGTCCCTGTGATGGGGGACAGACGCTGGTGGGTGCTGAGCTGGCCGGACGCCCAGTGGTCAGAATGCCCTGCTGCCAGCACCCTGCCTGCAAGCTTCAGTCTCCCCTGCCTGCCCACTGTGGCTGGTCCCTCCATCCTGGAGCCTGCTGGGCTTGCAGCTCCCAAAGTGTGGTTTGCCCTGTAAAGAGACTCAGTGAGCTCCCAGGGGTTGGAAGGAAGGGAAGAGGGAGGCCTGGGATTTTTTTTGGAGAAGCTGGGAGGTAAAACCCTCCTCTGACCAGCTCTAGCACTGGGAGAGGGGACCCGTAACAGCTCTGTGCTTCAGTTTCCCTACTGAGGACTGAGATTAGGGGTGCAGCAGAGCATGCACCATGCATAACCAGCATCACAGCACCCAGCTTTTGGGTTCTGAAAGCTGCGAAACACCTGCACAGACACCCCCAGGGCTTCTCTGCTCCCACAGTGTTGCCCAGAGGAGAGCCACCAGCAGCCCCTGTCCCTTCACTGGGCCTCACCACTGCCAGGTTTTCACATCTTGAGCTGTGTCCCCAGAGAAAAACTCATATATTTTGCTAAGCAGGCATAAAAAAAGAGGCAGCATCCTCCCAGGTGTCCTGCCATAACCCCAGCCCTGCCTGCCTGTGCACAGCATGTCCCTGCTCGTGCGGGGGATGTCGCTGTGGCACTCTCCAGCAGCAAGTTTCTCTTCCTCCCAGCGCCTCAGGACTTGCTCATTTTGGCTTTTTGCCCTGGATTTCCATGCACATCTCTGTTCATAAGCGGCTCTGCTTGCAGGGAGTTGCGAGGCTGCACGCCAGGCACAGCTCAGGTCGGGGGGACCCCGAGACCCTGCAACAGCACCCTGTGTCCTCAGTGCTTTCCCTCTCCCAAAGGGGCTCCAAAGTGAAGCTCACCTCATTAGCACCTCTGAGCTTTTTGGGGTAGAGACATCCCACATGCCACTGTCCTGGACTGCAGACCCCGCACAACTGCTCTGAGCAGGGTGCTAGCTTTAATCTGAAGTGCCTCCATCCCAGCTGATGTCCCTCCCTGGCATCTCACCACAGCAGCTCCCATGTCATTCCTCACAGGCTCTGGCGCCAGCTCTGCGGCAGCTGGGCTGGTTGCAGTCTCCTTGGGAAAGCCCTTCCAGCCTCAGCTGCAGCTCTCCTGGTCAGGATCTGGCAGCTTTCTCCTTTCCAGCCTCAATTTCCTGATGGCCAGTTTGTTCTTGGGCCAACAGAGTCTTTAATAGCTCCTTTCCTCCTGGCCATTGGCGCAGCAGTGACGTACCTGGAACCTGTCCCGCAGCAGCAAGCTTACAGCACCGCTGGTGGGCATTGGGTTAATCCAGGTCCTCTGGCAAGGAAAAGGACCAGGAGTAACTACATCCTCTGTGGACCCTATAAGGTCCCTACCAGGCTGAGGTGGCCACCATGGCACCTGTCATTTGGGCTGCTGCCTAAAGGCAAGGTGTCCCCAAAAGCTGATGAATTCAGGGTCACAGCAGCATCCCTCCTTCCTCCTCAAAGCTCACCAGCCCAGTGTCAGTGTCAGGCAGGGAGCTTCAACCCTCTTCTCCCATGTCACAGATAAACTCCTGAACACCAAGGCTGGGGAGGGCACTGCCACCAGGGCAGGTCCTGGGCCCTCCTGGGGCTTGTTAATCTCCTCAGGGGTACTTTGACCCAGCTGTGGGTGACTCCC